GGGGCAGGGGAGAGTCCTCAGAGTCTCTCATGTACGCAGGTCTCTGAAGCTGCATGTGGTGGCAGCAAGTAGGCCAGCCCTACCTGCCCTCATAGAGCGCAGCTTCCGTGCTCCCACCCCAGTCCCCAGCTGCAGGTGATGACAGTGTGCAGGGCCAGCCCCACCTGGTCTAATAGTGCTTCCACCCCCATGAGTCCCCAGCTACATGTGGTGCGGGACCAGCTCTACCCAGCTCCATAGTGCACATCTCCCATGCTCCAACCCTAGTCCTTGGCTGCAGGTGGCGACAGCATGTGGAGTCAGCCCCACCTGGTCCCATAACATGCAGCTCCTGCCCAAGTCCCTGGTTGCTCATGTCAGTAGCATGTGGGGCCAGCCCCACCCAGCCCCATAGCGCGTAGCTCCTGTGCTCCTGCATTGTGTGGGGCCAGCCTAGCTCAGCCCCATTGCTACTTACAATTCATGTGTGAAAGGGTTAAAACTATGCCTTTGCCTGAACAGGAAAGGGTAGAGTGAATAAGCTGAAGATTAAGCTCTGTCCCTGCTCTGTGTGGGGGGCTAGAGAAATCTTTTTTTCCCATCACTCTACCTGCCCCAAAACAAGTGTACATCTTATTATGGAACATGTGACATATGAGAAAATATGGTATTTTGCCTCCTACACATTATCCAACAGTGGAATGGGGTGAACTCTGTTTCAACTAGTGCTTTAATTTTGGCTACCACTAATAACTGAAAATTGATTTCATACAGGTAGTTTTTCTAGGTACAAACTGACCTGTGAGAGTGTCTGTGCCTTTCCCAAGTGGAAGAAGTAAGAAGTATAGTTCTGTTGTTATCTCATGACTGGCAGTCAGACCTGTTCTCTGCTGCCTTTCTCCATAGAGGGCCTGCCCTGGTCAGGTTATTTCAACTGTGCCTTTATTTTATTTTCTATAAAGTGAGAGTAATGCTTACCAAGTCACATGTGTATTGTATATGAGTTTGAATTTAGTTATGTTCAAGAAAGCTTTTAAAGTTTTTCTGCTGTCCAATATTGTCTCGCTTATGCTTGTTTTCCTCTTTGTACTGCATCATTCTTGGGGATAAAGCAGTACAAAATTTATAACCCCTTTTTTATAATTTGATTTTTCTCCTTGGCCTACTATGGTTTTCTCCCCTTAGTACAGGGATGCTCAAACCCTGGCCACAGAGCCAGGTCATCTGCTCTCAGGTTTCTCCACAGGTTTGAAAATTGGGTTGTGGGGGAGTAGTGGCAGCATTAATTGCTGGTCTCCTGCTGTTAAATTTTCAGACATATGAGGAGCCGTGCAGGTCAGATAGTGTTGTCCTGTGCATGCTAGATGGGACATGCAGGGCCTAATCTAGGTGCCAATCCCACATGGAATCTGGCCTATGGATTGTCTCCTCACCATTCATCTGGCCCATAGGGCCAAAAGGTTTAGCATCACTGCCATGAAGATGTCAGCACTAATCATCAGTATACTTTTGTTGCAGAAAAAGCCAACGACATACTGTGTTATATAAATGTCAGTGTTACTTACAAGTCAAGAGAAGTGATTATTCTGTTCTGTGCACTGGTGAGGCCTCACCTGGAGTAAGGTGTCCAGTTTTGGGCCCCACACTTCCAGAAGGATGTGGATAGTTTGGAAAGAGTCAAGCAGAGGGCAACAAAAATGATCAGGGGCCTGGGAGAAGAGATTTATGAGGAAGGACTTATGAGGATTTGATAACAGTCTTGAAATACCTGAAGGGTGATTATAGAGAGGATGGAAATGGGGTTTTCTCTGTGTCTGTAGGGGACAGGACTAGGAGCAATGGACTCAAGCTGCAGCAGGGGAAATTTAAACTGGAGATTAGGAGGAACTTTCTGACTGAGGGTAGTCGGGCATTGGAATAGGCTAACTTGAGAAGTTGTGGAATCTCCATGTTCGGGAACTTTCAAAAGCAGGTTAGACAGACACTTGCCTGGGCTGTTTTAGGCAGGGATGATCCTGCCTTGAGCAGGGGGCTGGGCTAGATGACATTATGAGGTCCCTTCCAGCTCTGTTTTCCTATGATCTTATGCTCGTCGTTATGCTTTTGCTTAGGAGATGTAAGCCTAGACTACCCCACATAGTTTTGCCAGAGGAATTTTAAGTTTTGCCTGCAAAACTGAGAGTTCTTCCCCACTTTCAGCTTGCCTCTTATTGCAAAATCCCTTTTTTTGGGGAGGCAGGATAATGCCAGCTGCTCCCTGACAGCTGGAAAAAGTGTGTGTAGGCACACTCCTACATTTTCCTGGCTGCCACAATCTCTTAAAAAGCTGGTCCCTCACAGAATGCACTGTGCACCTTGCTGGCTCACTTGTTGTAGTACAGCCCTGTCAATAAGTACATGGTCTGGCAACTTTCCTGTGGCAGCTACTATCTGTCAGCAAAGCTTCTGCCAGCAGAAGGCATGTAATGTATCTACACCTTTAGTTAGAAACCAGGAAAGCTTGAGCTAGTCGGTATGAAAACTCTAGTATCAACAGCTGTGTGTTCCTTGTATGTTTGAGGTCATCAGGTTAGTTGCTATAGTTCTTTTGACCTCTGATTCAGAAGCTACTTTGACTAAGTACAGACAATCAAAAAGCCCGAGGCTGAATTGATTCACCCTTTGGAGGTTACTCTAAGCTGCAAAGATCGAACCAATAAGCCAATGAACAGACCTTCACTTTTGATTCAGGAAATGCAGCCACATGCCTGCAGTGGCTTAAGCCAGAAACTGGGGGGCACTAGAGCACAGCTCTCTGGCATATAGCCAGCATGGGCTGTGTGTTTGCTGCTTCTTCCTGCTGTCCCTGAGGTCTCTGGGATTTGCAGTACAGACTCACCACAGCGGGACTTTGCAGTGTTGCTCATCACTTCCTCTTCCTGCTTCCAGGTGCCTCTAGGATTTGTAGTCCACAGGTGCAGTCAGCACTAAGTAAGCCAGCAAGGCAGGGCAGCTCTGTACATGGAGGAAGGTGAGTCTAACCTTCCTCCCTGGCCCCAGACCCCAGCTGGGGTTTGCTGGGAAGGGGCAGCGAACCAGCCCTCACTGCTACAGGTAGGGAGCAGAGGGATGGGGCCAGCCCTGCTCTCTGGAGCAGACAGAAGAGCCCAGTCCAGGGCCACAAAGCATGCTGGGATGCTGTGATTTAACTTGAACCAGGAAGGGGTCTAGGACAGAAGTTTCATAAACCATTTTGACCTAAATTGGTTAAATCTGATACTACATTCAACCAGATTTATCTTAAACCAGTTTCAGCCATTTTGAAACTGGTTTATGTGTACTGAACTTATGTTCTGTTACAGGTTTAAACTAGTTTCTGATCACTTAAACTGGTTTATGTGTAACTTCTGTCCCTAGCTTCTGAGGCTAGAAATAGATGCCAAATGAAGATCAGCTGTGCTGGGATGTGTCCTGGCATAGGTGATTGGCTTCACTGGGCAAAGCAGGACACTTTTAGATCGAGCATTGTCCTGCCCATTGATGCTGCAGGACAATGGGCAGTATGTTCTCCCGAGGCTTGATGGGTCTGCTCTTATGTGCCTCAGGTATTCTCACACAGGATCGGATCCCTCAAGCCCCAGAAGCACCTTTCCCAGCTCACAGAGGGGTGCCCCAAGGAATTTTGGCATGATTTTCTATAAGCAGAGAAAGCTGGAGTTCCCCACTTACAGAGATATGACCCAGAGATCCCAGGAGCGTATTTCTGCCAGCAGAAAACCCTGACGTACCCTGCTTATGAAAATGTTCCCTGAGATTCCTCTGGGCACCTTCTGTAAGCAGGGAAAGCTTGCCAGGCACTCCTGGGACATGAGGGACCTGATCCTGCATGGAATCTCCTGGAACTCATAGGACAAGGCCCCTCAAGCCTCTGGAGCATCTGTCTGAGACAGCTGTAGAGCTGCCTCCACTCTCCTGCCACAAAGCAAATAAGCATCCACCACTAAATAGAGACACAAATTAATACCACCTTTGTCCTGGCCACAAATTTTGGGCATTATTGTCATGACAAAGGACTGGAGTGTCTGTTTGCTTGGCTTGTATGCCACCATAACAATTTTTATTGTAGTGCAAAGGCAATGAAAAGTGATACGTTTCCACCCTTAGAGTAGCAAAGAGTGCATTTATTCTTGCAGTACTCAGATTTTCCCTGGCAGTGTTTTTATGTTCCAAATGCCGACTTACATTACAGGAAGAGGAGTGTGACAAAAAAGTTGTGTTTAAGGGATTTCTAGAGTTAAATAGTCTTTCCCAAGCATAACTTGAGGGAATTGAAATTTGCAATTGGATAACTTGGTTCTTCCATGAACAGAATTGTCTGCTGTCAGAAATGAATGTTGTGTGGTTGGCCAAGAAGCTTTAAGAACCCCAACCATTTCTACTTTTTCTCTAAGGGAGGGAATTCACTGATTTAGATTTCTATTTTCAGCATATGCAGATGACTATCCAGGCTCTCCAGGATGAGCTTCGGATCCAGCGGGACCTGAACCAGCTTTTCCAGCAAGACAGCAGCAGTAGAACCAGTGAACCCTTTGTGGCAGAGCTAACAGAGGAGAACTTCCAACGGCTCCATGCAGAGCATGAACGCCAGGCCAAGGAACTTTTCCTGCTGCGCAAAACATTAGAAGAGATGGAGTTGCGCATTGAGACTCAGAAGCAGACCTTAAATGCTCGTGATGAGTCTATCAAAAAGCTGCTGGAGATGTTGCAGAGTAAAGGGCTGTCAGCAAAAGCCACAGAGGAGGATCATGAGCGGACAAGACGGCTGGCTGAGGCAGAGATGCATGTCCATCATTTGGAGAGCCTGCTGGAACAGAAGGAGAAGGAAAACAACATGCTGAGGGAGGTGAGTGACCTAGCCATGCATTTGTCTCAAAATATTTCATTCTGTGGGCTCTCTCCTTTCCACTGCTCCTTAGGCTTAATCCCTAGTGATTCATATTTATCTGTCTTGCTTTTCTTTTTTTTCCTATCCTAATGCTCTTTACTTACTTATTTACCCCCCTTTCACCAGTGTTTGGAAGGTATTTTTCATTCTGTTTGTAGGCCACCATTAAAATATGACCCCACTGTATTTGTTCCTTCAACCAACCAAAGTCAACAAACTTTTTGATTGTTTCTCTGGTTTTCTTTTCCTTCATTTTGTCTAAGGTCCCCTTTGCTCTTCCTCCTCACACAAAGCCCTGGAAGTTCACCATTTCAGAGAATGTAATATTCACTCCACTGTTTTCTTTTATTTCGAAAGCAAGTAACTACCTGTATTTAGGAAAGAGCTGCAGGAAATCTTGGCAGCAGTAATGGATGATTGCTCTGCAGTTTCTATGGAAACACTTGCCTTGCTGTGAAGGGTATTTGATCAAACTATTAGTTGCCCTGGTTGCACAGCCAAAAAAAGATTGTTTAAAGGTATATTGCAAACAAAATGAAAAACAAATTTAGATTTGCAGTGTATGCTTAGGATTTATCATCCCCAACCAATTATAGGAAAATGTGTACTAGTGATCCTACAAACAGTACTTACCTGTCTTAGAGAAATGCATGAAAATCAGCAGTGGGAGTTGCTCGTTATGCAGCCCGAGTCACTGAATTTCTTGTCAGTGTTAAATGCATTTCTCATATCACGTAAGTAACACATTTCCAAATTAATTTTATCATTAACTTCTACAATGCTGATGTTTTCCTGTTGACAATATGTATACATGCATTTAGCAAAAGCAAGATTTTTAAAGAAAACAATTAACTTGCATGAATAAGTTACTTGCATACATAATTCAATAGCTGTACATACTTGTAATTAGGTTAATAATTTTTGATTTGCATAAGTATATTCAATGCAAAATTTAAATTTATATTTTTTACTGCAGACTTTTTTGAAAATCAGCACATTTGTGCATTTGCACATAGAAATCAAACCTGTTCCTGTGGTAGCCAGGTTATGCACAGAGTTTCCGAGATGGGCATGCTGCACCCATCCCTGGGGTGAATACCTCCTTGTGCACTTCCCATAAAGTGTTTATTTGTCTTTGTCTTCCTGTAGCTTGAGTCTAAAGAAGCTAGAATCCATTGCATTGCTGACCCTGTCTTAGGTCATTATTAGTTCTGGAATATCTGGAGTGAACAGAAATCACTTCCATTGAAAGATTTTTCCCTCTTTGTGGCAAATATTGATAAACCCTTTCCCTGCTTCTTGTTTCTATATTTTTATGTCAAAATGGCTTCTGTTTGTTTTTGTTCTGTGAAGAGTATCAGTAGTGGAAAGTCAGCAAGAATATATGATTTTTTTTTTTAAAAGACAATGGAACATTTTCTTTTGCAGCAAATTTGTAGGTGTTGGGGGTATATTAGAAGGTAAGGAGTTCTTATATAGTCAGGCAGATGGCAATTTTATGACATATTATTTAATCCCTAACCTGTCTCAATAAATGAATACTTGTGAAGAGAGATAAGTGTTTGATTAGTTTTATATGTGATAGAAAAAAGTGCGCATGCAACTTGTCAGTTACTGCTTGCTGCAAACCCAGTTCTGAAGCATCACAAGGATCTAGCAAGACATGGAATAATGTATAGCTTTAAACCATTGTCAGGTTTTTGCCTTCTCTGCTGTGTAGAATCAAGGTGTCTGGAAAAGAAAACAACTCCTTTTTGGATAAGAAGTCTCAGAAATAAAAATATTTTTGAAAATAAGGAATACTGTAAATGGGTAACTTATAGTTCTGAAGCGTAGTACAGGCTAAGATTTAGAACAGCGGTGGGCAACCCCACGGCACACATGCCAGAGTGTGGCACACGTGTCTTGGAGCAGTCAGTGAGAAAGGGGCTGGGGCTGTGCTGTCACAACAAGGATCGGGCCTCTCGCAGCTCCTCCACCATCTACCCTGAGGCATGCATGCACCTGCCACCAGCAGCAAGCCAGGCTGCAGCTCCTCAGACTTGGTGCAGCTGCTCATAGCTTCCTCATTGCCTGCTGCAAGCAACCCGGGCTCCGTGATAGGTGATAGGGGCCTGCCCAGAGCATGGGTTGCCTGTGGAGGTTGCAAGCTGCTGCACTGAGGTCTATAGAGCCCTGGCCCAGCTCATTTCTGGCAACGGCTGCATGTGTGCCTCTGGGTGGATGGTAGGGAAGGGGCTGGGGCTGTGTTGCCACAACAAAAGTTGGGTCCCTTGTGGCTTCATCTCTGCTCACGCCAACACACTAACATCTTCCAAGTTGAGGTTAGGGTGTTTTTGGCACTCTGCCCAAAAATACTGCTGACCCCTGATTTAGAAGCTTGCTGAGCTCCAGAAAAGCCAGAGAAGTTACTCTGTGTACTTTAGGAGCTATATTTGTGAATTAGCAATCTACCGCTGCTAGTAACTGATGAGATGGTGTTGCATAAATTGCTGATTTTATCCCCTGGAGG